GCTCGATTGCGCCAATTTCGCTACTCGAGGACTATTACTAATAGTCCTCTAGTAGCATAGCCAATCAAAATGCAAGATTTGCATTAGTCCACTAGTTGGGTGATACTAATATCTATTAACCCATTAGTATTTCTAATTGACACCTTAATTTAAAAAAGTGAATTACCTGGATCCCCAAACACAAAAAGGTCTCTAAGCCTTCTCCTGATAATTCATGCAACTAACATGTATAATTATGTCACACTCAACCTCACTCAATGATTACTTAACATAACTTACTCCTGAAGATGGATAAATCACCTGTGACTAACAAACCTTTTGAGATCCACAATGGCACACTTGGTCATAGTAGAAACAAGAAGTTTATCTCCAACACAGTCCAACTGTACAATACTGGTGTGAGCCTTTGCTACAATAGTAGTAGTGTGGAGTAGAGGAAAGCCTTTGTTTACAGGTAACTGAAAAATATAAGGAACAATTCAGGTATCTTCAAAGCACTTTGAATGAGGAGGAAGTGGGATGGGGAAGACAAGGAGGAGGAGATGGATAGGCAGAAGGGGAGGGCAAGGACGCAGGAGGAAGAGGTGGAGGAGGAGAGGCGGCAGAAGAAGAGCAGGAGTAGAAGCAGGATCAGGGCCTTGGGTGACATGAAAGATCACCTGATAATGAATCTAAATTAATTAAAGCAAATCCTATTCTGTTGAACAATCTAGAGAATGGAAGAATAGAGACTATTTTAAAATTACTTTGCCAGCTTGTGGAATGTGAACAACGCTCACAACACCCTTCACGTCACCAATGAAAAGACGGGTTTCCTCTTCATCCCAGCATAGTGCAGTGACAGTTGTGTTCTTGTGTTCTTCTGACCGCCGAATAAACTAACAAAAAACAGTCAGACACCATGTAGTTAAATAATCTCTCAAGTGAGTGACTGAATTTGATTTTTCGTGAATAACATTCTGCTTTACACCAGTTGCCATCATTTTCACTGCTGCACAACCTTTAAAAATACAATTCACTTACATTTGTAGTACTTAGATTTCTGTCAATCAAGCTTTCGTGACAAGGAAATTCACACTCACAGCAAATGTTCAAACATGTTCAACAAGCAGTGATAAATCACAGCTATCTTTTCTGTTGACATAAAAACTACCGAATAGTTTGCCAATACCGACATTTTGTGAGTGTATGTGAAGATGCCCAGTATTCCATATAAGATCAGTGCTTTTTGACAGATAGAATTCTTTTATAATTGCCAATTGGATTTTGATTTCAAAGGTTGCATAGGGGTGATAGCAGTAACTAGCGAGACAATCTCAGCCAGTGCAGAGTGCAAATATGCAATGTACAGCTCTGACACACAGTAGTCACAGAAATCCTCACCCCTGCTGTTCACTCCCAGTTTGTATTGACTTTGGTAGTCAGCTAGAACTTTTCTCCTCACAGAATATAAAATGACAGTAATCATAGTTTTTAAGAAGCAACTCGATCTCATACCTTTGGTTTCTCTCTGTGCCTTGAGCTTACTTCCCATACACGCACGATGCCAGGACTTAAACCAACAAAATAAAATTTACTTTTAACTAGTTACTACAAAATAGTGCCGATGAGTTAATTTGTTTTGGGTTAAGCATTTAGTAAACCAGTTTGAAATCATGACCATGACGGTGTTTGGATATCTGATCTTCATTAACATACACTTTTACGATTTTATTTCTCCATTTCTAAAGTAAACTTAAACCAAAACACTACTCCTTTATCATTGAACAACTAAAAGTTGAGTTATTATTGACAAATTATTCATCGGAATACCATACCTTGTTGCTACTCCTAAAAGACTGCGACATTGTGCAAAGCAAACAGCAAGTATGGGGCCATCCTGTCAGTGAAAAGTTTTAAAATTCAGCCCTACATGATTTGCAATCTCTCTCCTGTTAGTATGGTGTATTCATTTACCTTGTTTTTAAGGAAAACGACCAATTTTT